AAGGTTGGGTTTTTTGGTGGGTCTTTTTTTTGGGGGGGGGGAGGGGAAGGGGGGGAGAATGTTGTGGGTGTCTTGTGGGTTTTTTGTCTTGTTTTTATAAAGAATGTTCTCATGTTCCAAGCCAAATTGATTCCAAATTCTTGAGTCGTTCAAGAACCATATGTGGCCCTGCTACCAGCAAGCCGCCTCCACCCCCGCCTGGGGCTTCAGATGCTTCCAAATCCTTTGGCGGGTGTCCCTATGTGTGGGCCCAAGCCCAGAGGCTTGAGGTTTGGATGCCTCTGAGCTTTGCTTGCCCTTGGCTGTATGGCCACAGGAGCAAGCTAGGAAGGAGTCTCCCATTTCCGTAAAGTTGCTGTATAACTGAAATCTTCCCACTGGAAGTGAAACTGGGAAGCAGCTAATTATGTATTTACCTCAGTTAGGGTACCTACCCCCTGCCATGTTCATGGTTTTCCCTAGCCAGTAGGAACCTTGGTGATCATGGTATTTCGCCTGCCAGGTACCACAAGGTAGGTACAGACCAACCTTTTATGAATTTTTTTGTGTTCTAAGCCAAATCAGCCAAATAAATTCCAAATCTGTGTCAGTCAGGATCTGTAAGTAGCCCTACTGCCAGAAAACATCCAACCATCTGAATAAGATATGGCAGTGCCCACTGAGTGTAGTCCCCCTCAGTGCTGACTCTCTTCTCTCTTTCCCCTCACCCCCCCCCCCCCAAAGTTGTGGCGAGCCAGTATATTGCATACATCTTAACTACCTTGACTCCCACAGCTGAGGTATGCCTTTCTTTTCCACTTCCAATGTTTCCTGTTTCTTCATCAACCTTAAATGTCTGGCAAATGTAACGAAATTGGGCCCTAAACAATTTACCCAGAATCCCTCTTGGGATCCATCTCTCAGCCTGTCACATGATTAGTGTGGCCCTGCCCATCATGAGATAAAGCTGCTGTATACTTTATTTGCATATCAGTTTTTGGAGGATTCCCAGACTTGACAAGAACACCCTTTTCAAGTCATGAGTAGGGGGTCTAAATTAGCATGTTGGATCCCTGGGGGGCAGGAGATGGGGGTAAGGGTATCTGGAGTACATGCGCATACTGAGCAGTGCTGAGCTGTGGGGTCGACATGGCTTCAGATGCTGTTGGCTTTGCTGGGGTCCTGCCCAGTGCACCATAAATCATGAACCTTTTGTCTTTGGTACCTTATACATAATAGAAACTATGAATGATATTACGCCAGTATACATGATACTTAAAAGGTGTGTTTATGGAGTACCCCTGCTAAAACTTGCAGCAGTTTCAGAAAAGGAAAATGCGAATTTGTTGCTCATATCCATGTGCTTAGGGAGAGCAGGGTCTGATAGTAAGGAGAGGAGGGGGAAGGAGTTGCAGAGGGCCAAGGGCTACCTGAGGCCCCAGACTTATTTTCCTTGCTGTAGCAGTGGGAGGGGGAGCAATTCAAGGCAGACTTCCAATGATTAATTTATGCCTGGGAAACTTCATAACTTTTCTGTATATAGAAAATAATTATTGTGGGGGCTGTTTTATATCAGGGTTGACTTTTATTAATATAAATAAGGCTTTTTTGGTACCCTGAGACTTTGCGGGGGGTGCAGGAAGCCTCAGTATTGGCTCCCTTTAGGAGTAATTATTGTAATATTATTTATGGTCTTAAAACTTTAGTTCTTGGTGGGGCCCCAGTAGAATGGGAGGAAGAATAGAAGTAAAAAATTCTAAATTCAATGATGTAAGTTTACTTTTGACAAAAAGAAAATAGCAGAATCTCATGCAGCCTGATACACATGCAGTTTCTCTCTTTCAAATCATGTTTTAGGATTGATCTGTAGAATATTTTTTTGCTTCTGCCCAGTCAGAACTGGATGTGAACTTTTCTCTGGTACAGTGCTTTTACATAAGTACAGAGCGGGCAGAGTTTCAGGCACACTTCTGAAGGGAAATCTGCCTCCATTATAATAAATAAGCTGAACCAGTGTTGTCAGTCAAGGAAATGTGGAAGTAGCTAAGCCCTTGCCCTTGTATAGCAGACTCATTTAAAGCTTAATATGTTATTAAGCAGCCTATTAAATGTTTAAGAAATTAAAGCCCTCCAACAACTGGCTTGTAAGCAAATACATTCTGTAAGAGTGAATGTAGTGTAAGCTTGTCGGTGTTGGACTTGCAGAATTTCCTATCAGAAAAGCATGGTAAATGTTGTTATAAGTATTACTTGCATGCCTAATGTTTAGGACCATCTGAAATTGAAACCCTGTTTTTGGACATGAGGAGTGCAGACAAGTGCAGCTCTGAGCTCTAACTTGGTGTTCTACAAAGCATACTGAGTTGCAAGGTTACCCCAGACCAAACAGAAGTTCACTGTTGTTTCTAGGGGGAAGGGGAATCTAGCTGAGGGCCGGGAGCCTGCAGCCAGGTTCCCATAGCAACAGCCACAGCTCTTTGCTAGTCCTGTTCCCAAAATGGGAGGGGGGGGAAAGGCAGCAGAGGGAGGTTATTCTTGGGGCTCTCCAGCTAGTGCTGAAGGGTGGGGTCAGTGAATTGGAGCCCCCGATTGTTACCTCAGGTGGGGAGGGGAGAGGGGAGTCATGTTCCAATAATGCTGCCCCATCCTTCAGGGGGTCTGAAATCCCCAGACTGAACTCCCTCTGTCTTCAACCCCTGCTCCCTTTTCTGAAAACAGCAACAGGCTGACAGGCAGTACAGACGCAAATTACAGAAGACGCTACATTTGAAGTGTCTTTTGTACCTTGTACAATGAGGGGTCAGATTTTTCACTCAGTCAGCCATTTTTAAGCTGTTTGGTCATGGCTACTGACTGCTTTCTGTGGCCAGATTGGGTGAAAATTGTCACTTCTGTCTGCACCCAAATGGTGAAACCAATTTGTCTGAACTTGGAGTAAACAAGCTGGGATGACTGACCTGATGGCTGTAAAGGGGTTTGGGTTGGGTTGTTACCAAGTTACTGTTTGATATTGGTGGAAATCTCTTTAGCACTTAAGCATTCCAGAAAAGTGTTCTTGCCTCCTGGTGAGTCAGATATTCATGAGTAGGAATGTTAACTGAAAGCTTAGTGGCTCTCCAGGATTTGCATCCTTTGGTTCTTTATCTTGTGTGCTATCTGCGCAGCAGAACCTAGAAAGGTTTCTCTCTAGAAAGTCTCAAGTGCAGTCTTTTTTTCTGATAACAGTAAGGAGCAGAACCCCCTGTTCCCTTCGAGCTCTTGGACTGTTCATATGAATCTTGGCTTCTGTTTGGGTAGGAGGGTGGGAAAGAAGGTAAGATGATCCACACGGCAGATTATCCTCTACTAAGATCACCAGTTTTGGGAGATGGTGAGAGCCTCACTGTCTGCAATATAGGATGGAATGCATTGGTGTAATTCAGTACTTGCAGCTCTTAAGATGAGAGCATTCACAGAGATCCAAAGTTCATTTTAGAATTTGCAGAAGGAAAGAAATGGGTTGCATGCAGCTTCTGGACATGTGACTGTAAATTCTCTTTATATTAAGAGATTTCTGCAGAGTGTTCAGTTGATGTGTTGGACAGACATCTTATTGAGAGGGATCAGTTGATGCTACTCTGACAAAACAGTCTTAATACTGGAACAGGTGTCAGCATGTGTGGCACTTCCCCCAGTTCTTCAGAAAGTGACACCGGGGGGCGGGGGAGCTCTGCCTTCTTGGTAAGCCAGGATTGGGGATCCATATTACTGAGCTGGACAAGAAGTAGTATGTATTTGTAGGAAATACACATCCATCAACCTCTGCCCACACACTTCCACATCTTAACAGAAGCATTTGTAATATTGTGCAGGCTTATACTTCAGTGAACTACCACTGCAGTGAAGTAGATCCAGAAATTATCCCAGTAGAATGTTCTGTTCCAGAGCCTATACAGTCCTCTGGAAACAGTCCGCAAAAGGTAAGTGTTCACTTTGGAGACTTGTATTCAATATCTCAATTTGCAGGGAAGGGTATCTGGTAATCTGGAGACTTGGTTCCACATATAACACTGAACCAGTCTCGGTTTACTATGCCTCAGTTTCCCATGTGCAAGAGATGGGTGTCAACTCTCTGCAATATCAGAATGCTCTGTTTCAGTTGTGAACCATACAAGATGGACTTATGTATATAAATCAGCATTCTTTAGTTTAGTAAACAGAACTTTGTTTAGCCACCAGACTTAAAGTCCTAGGAATAACTTACAAAATGCAAGTGCAACTTCCTCTTTAAAATAATAATAATAATGCCCTGAATTCTTACTGTCCTAGCATTTGTAGAGACTACATTTTGGGCAGCCTTGCATATTGCTTTTCACTTGTTTGTAAGAAGTGTTTTAGTCTCAAATATTCTAAACAATTGAAAGGACTGTTACCTTCATTTGTGGGATTTAAGCTGTTTTCTGAGCTATTTTGATCCTATTGCCAATAAAAAATATGAAGATCTGCTTGATCCAAAATGGAGCATTCTGGTCTGTGATGTTTCAGTTGTAGAACAGGCTGCAGAGGGAATTGTCTTCAGATAGTGTTGTAAATTCACTTCCTGAGAGATGCAAAAGCAATTCACAAAGTTATTTTAGTATTTGCAGGTGGAAAGAACGCAGCTGACATGCGTATAATACCTGGATGTTTGACTGTAAATTCTGTTTACTGCAGTGTATTCAGTAAAGGCTGACAGTTGACAGTAATCCTGAACATTTGTCAGGGTTCAGTATGCAATCTGTAGAAATAACTAGCAATGAAATAAATAAGAGAAGATATTGTTGGAGACATTCCTGAAAATGCATATTTCAGAAGTCTGTGGACCGAAGCATCCAAACAATGATATCCTGTCTGTTTAACTCGGAGAACCGGCTGAGAAACACTCTTGTATCACAAGAAGACTACTTCAAGGTATGGAATAAAATTTTAGCAGTGCTGATTAGCTTAATTTTTTTCAGCTGCTAGAAACAAATGTGAAAAGCTTTGGAAATGATCAGAGAGATATTTTTTACCTCTTTAGATTGCATTGTGTTGGAGTTGACTGAAGCATATTTCCCTGAAATGCTTAAGGTGATTACACTGGATGTGGGAGGTGCCTTGCAGCATGTGTAGGTCTAGCTGAATTATTTTTAATCTAGCCAGCTCTGGTGTCATTAGCAGTGCAAAAGGTGGTAAAGAGACTATACACACTTCCCTGGCCCCTGACTACATATTTGGGTTGTTAGTCCATTTGGAAGTCTGAGTTACTGTATTCTCACTGTTGGTATTGGTAAGCAAGATTAAAGATAATATGGGTATGTCTAGATGTGCTGCTCTATCACTTTCAGCTGTGATGTAGAAATACCCTTAATGTAACTGTTAGTTGCTTTTCTTTAGGGATCTTTCATGTTGTATCCCTTTCCTGTGTACCATAACTGACCTTTGGTATTACTCCTGGCTTTGGCTTGTGGCACTGGTATTACTATGCTCTTTAGATACCACCTAGAATAAATACTGCTGAAAATTCAAATGGGCTGCACTTTTTAAAAAAATCTTATACTCCCTTAGCTAGAATGATTTATTCTAAATATGCAATAGCTTTGAGTTCTAATAGCAGCTTTTTCCAGCTGTGAAATGCATGTATTTTTGATGGTAGCTTGTATTTGGAATAAACCACCTTGTGAAACTGGTTATGGATATCACTTAATTTTTTTTCCTTTCAGCTCAAATATCTGGATAGTGATGCATGGTCACATGTATCTATTGTTTGGGAAACCTAGAGACTTTTTTCCCTTTAATTGCGTACTTTGCTTATCTGTTTTAAATTCTTTAATTGAGCATTCAGTCAGAAGATAAATATCAATTTCCTGCAGTTTTGTATAAGGTCCTTTTCAGCTTTCCTTAGAAATTCTTGACCAGACACTTCCTATGTAAATGCTTGCTTCAGTCATGTTGAATTTTTAAGCAGTCTTTAAGGAGCAAAATCTTAAAATACTGTTTCACAAAATACATTACTTTATTCTGCTAAATTTTGTATAGAATTATTTTACTACTTTAAGAGACTTGAAAATATATATTTATTTTTTTTTCATTCTCCTCCTGCTTTATCTTTACAGGAGAAGAAAGCTCATCACTTCAGAAGAAGTAGGGCAGTGCTTAAAAGTGTTTGACCAGTGAACCTGAAGACTTAGTGCTTGTACTTCATTATTTTGGGATGTTAATGAAAACTGAAGATCAATATAGCAATCTGCTGTAAAAAAAAATAATTATGTAACCTTATTGAAAAAGTTACTTCAAGTTGAAGTTAATATTTGCATGTTATCTGTTCCTAGGTTCTTTGTTCTTAATTGTAGGACTTAACAAATGTCTTCAATTTTTAGAAGTTTTCCAGGTTTTACTACTTGGGTTTGCATGTGTTTTCACTTGATGCTAGTGTGTTTAAAATTTTAATGAGGTTGTATGCGACGATTGTTCTTCATTTACTTTGTAAATGCATAGATTTTTCTTCTGAGTTTCAAGTTATGGTTGGTTTGCTGTGTTTAGTTACTGAACTGCACTTAGTTTCAAGTTACTGTTGGCACTTCGTTTTTCTTAACTTTTTGGATGTTTAAGCTGTTTTATTTTCACCAATTTTAGTTCTTGAAATTTAGAAGTTGAATAGAAATTTGCCCAAGAGGTAGAAGTTTAAAACTATATTCTTAATCAGTGGAACAGAAGACATCAAGTTACAAGCTCCAACTGAAGCCCTTTTAAATCTGTACCCAGTTGCATTGTTGGTTCTATGTAATCCAATCAAAGTGGATTACATTTTATTAGTTAAAAGTTTATAAACCTGGAATCTGAACATTTGTTATCCAGCTGGGGGTGGGGAGGGGGGCTAATTAAGATCATTCTAAAATTCTTAAATTGAATTTAAGGAAAATCTAAGGATGTAACTAGCTACACTAACTACCCAGTGGGTTACACTTTTTTACTGAGCAAATTTTAGACATAAAATTGTGGGAGAAACATTTGCTTTAAAATATGATGCTTCCTTTTTTCCCCAAATGTCATACAGTGTTTGTTAATCAAAGTATCTGTAAGGAAATATCTTTATTATAATTATGTAGATTTTAGTCTTGTATTAAGAAACCTGGACAATAAATTTTTATTTTTGACTTGGCTTCCTAAACTTCATAGTGTGGAGATGCTAACTAACAGCAGTGCACCAGGTGATGCAAATACCTTTTACTATTCAGAATGTTAAACAAAAGTATAGGCAGTCCTCAGACTTACGACACAATTGGTTCCTGAACACCGTGTCTTAAGTCGAAACATTTGTAACTGGGAACCAGTTTTCTCATAAGAAACAATGTTATAAATGGGGGATTGGTTCCTGAGCCAAGGCCCGATACCCTATTTTCACTAAAAATACCCCAGAATTTTGTACTTCATCAATTATAGATGAGTAATATAGCTACATTAATGTATTTATATTGTAAATAGCAATCATTGATTTGGAAGGACTTCTTTGAGGTGACTTTGCTGGACTCTGTGAATGGACTTTTTGAAGGGTTCTTGGCTGGGGTCTTCTCAGGAGTCTTGGCTGCAGGTTTTTCTGGAGTCTTGTCTCTTTTCATAAAGAAAAGTGTCCAAGGAAGTTTGGACAGACATTCTCCAGGGAGATGAGCAACTCGGCAAACTTGTTTGCTGGCGTGGCATCGCTTCGGATCAAGCATTGTAAAGTCAAAACTGATGTCATAGAGTTGAAACGGTGTCAGTTTAGAAACGTCGTAAGTGTGAAACATTGTAAGTCAAGGACTGCCTGTATGGCTAAAACTTAAATATGTAAAAACCAATAGCAGCCAAAGATCACTCTGAAAACTCTGATTTAGTGTGCATAATAGGGTGACTGGTGTTGCTCTAAAGTCACTTTTTTTGTTTGTTTGTTTTTTTTTTAAGACCACTACAGAAATACTAGCTTGTAAAAGGAAATGGTGGTAGCCAACACTGCTGGGGGCAGCGAAGCTTGAAGTGGGGAAGGGAACTTGAGAGCTTGGAGTCCTGAGACAGTATCCATATGCCTATGCTACTTTTCAAAGAAGTATGCCAAAAACTATTCCACTAAGCTTCCCTGTGGCAGTTTGAAAGGAAAACGCCTATGGATATCAGAGTGCAGATTACTCAGGCTTTGAAAAACTTCATGCATTGCATTGACTACATGCATCAGTGTTTGAAAAGGATAAATGGTATGACACTAGGCTGGTTAGACAGATGTGTATTCCAGGCAATGCACTGGAAAGACTGTCCCACATTGGTAGATAAAAGGTTATATGCTACCATAATTCATGCCACTTGATATGCTTTTATGAAAAATAGTTGTTAACTTTAGCTTTCAGTCAAGTGACAAGTATGGCTGTTAAAAGAAAATTACCTGGTTAGGTGGTGCTTGTTTAAGTTATGTGCAGGTATGATAATGCAGACAGTCACGTAACCAAGCACAATGAATATGGGTCATAATTCTCCATATCTTGGAATTCAGGCATCACTGCAGGATTTGAATATGCGATCCCAAGAGGATTCTGGGACTTAGATCCTGAAATGTTTAAGAGAGTTTTGCCTCAGCTTTGGCTTAGCCTTCCTACAGTCTAAGTTTGCTGAGTGAAAGCAGGCAGAAGAAGCATTTTCTAGGAGGTACCAGCAGATTTAAGAAGGTAGCAGGAGAGCCAATATGTTGGCTAGAAAACCTTATAGTGTCAAAGCCACACTACTACCAGTTTTTTTTCCCCTCTTACCTGCATCTGGGCAGGCTCTGTCTAAAGTGGGGATCACCTATTTCCACCCAGGTCTTGGTTTGACTTTGAGAACTATAACCTGCATGGTTTTTTTTTGGAGAAGCCAGGTGGGAAGACTGCTTGCAGAGGTGAATCCTGGTAAATGACCTCAGAACCCAGGGAAGGAGGCTGCAAGAGGAAGTGGTTGGCTGGATGTGAAGATGTCATTGACTAGGGCTGAGTACGGATGGTCAAAAAGCATGAGGCTCAATCTGTTCAAACTAGGTAGCTTCCTCCTAAGCTGCATAGGTTAAACTGATAACCAATTGAACTATCGTTTACTTTTTAACTGGGAGGGGAAGTGGGGAGATCTGCAATGACCCAGGCCAGTAGGTGTGGGGTGCTAGAGCACATTTCCCAGCCTGTTGGCTATTGCTAGCCCAGCTAAGTGCCCCCATACCCTGCTGTCCCCCGCAGGGGGTTAAGCATCATGTCAGGGTGCTGATCCATACTGGGGG